GAAAATATTTTATTTGGCCCAACATATTAAATTATTACAGTAAACAGTTTACAGTACTTGCACATTTGTGGACCAAAATGGCATCCGCTCAGCATTGTGTCCTGCTCTGAGGTAGACCCAGAACAGGACGCTGTTATTCTGCGGAGGCCACTTTTTTAAAAGAGCGTCACATTGGACGCCATAAACATTGGCATTTTTATTTTAAAATTATATAAACTTATACAAAGCTTATACAAAGCAATAGTTGTCCAACACGGTTCATTCATGGCCGAACACTTTACATCGAATAGAAAGTAATAAAAAAATAAAAATTGATACTAAATGGCATTATAAAGGTAAATCCGGAATTATGCCTTTACAACTATTCAAAAAACAATTTAAACTGCCTATATCCGAAACTATCCGAAACATTTGAATCGGTTACCTTTACAGTTACGGATATTTTGGATATCCGAAAGTTTCGGTTACGGTTACGGATATCCATAACATCCCTGCTTAGTACCTAGAAAATTAAGCACACTGCTATGACAGTACCTTGAAGCGGTTTTGACTTCGCTCTATGTGCTTATTTTAAGTTTACGTTAGCTAGGGACTGCGTCAAAGAAAGATTTTCTTCTTGGTTTTTGAAAGTAGCTCCTAGGGGCGCTCGCGCTGTACGTACCTACAATCTACCTTATATTTTAGTGTCTTTTTTTTCGTAACCTAACGTAACGCACACCTAACGTAAACTCATGGTAAGCACACTGAAGCAAAGTTTCGATCGTATCTTACCTCATCTCTTACTGATACACCGAAATATGGAACACTAATCCTACTTTGTCGGCCGTTTGGTGTAGTGGTTCAGAACGGACTACTATGCCGAGAGGTCCCGGGTTCGATTCCCGGCCGGGCAGAAATTGAAATGATGAATTTTAATTTCTGTGACGGGTCTGGGTGTTACTATGTATAATATGTATGTATTTAAAAAAAAAGGTATATAAGTAGTGTATCCGTCAAGCTAGCACCCATAACACAAGCATTAAGTTGCTTACTTTGGGGCTAGCTGGCGCTGTGTGAAATTGTCCAAAGATTTATTATTATTTATTATTATTATTACTACTAAGTATTCCTTTATCTTATAAATGTAAAAAAATATCAGGATGGATGGATGTTTGTCCCTCTCTCAGGCTTAAATCACTGAACTGATTTAGATGCAATCNGTATATTTGGGACCCAAGGAAAAATACAGGTAGAACAGTTTTTTATATCCCGGTTAAAAAAAAAACAAAATAAATTCCTTCTGTCACAAATCGAACTTCATGCAGGCGAAGCCGTAAGCAAAAGCTATTATTATGTAACAAATAAAAACAAAATCTGCGCCGCAGTGCCGTCACTGCAAAAGTATTTTATCATTTCCTACTATTATTAGATTTTGGATAACCTTTAGAAAAGTGGCTTTTAAAGACCTTAATTGAGTTAATCTTCGAGAAGAGGTCGCTGATCTTTAATAAAATAAGCCAATGAAGTCCTTTTACGTAAAAATTTTGTTACAAACCTTGTTAGCCGAAAGAAGGTTCGTTCTAATGTTACGATGATACAGTGGAGTTTTGGCTTTATAATATTACTAACTTGTGTCCACAGCTTTACGGGTATAGTTATACGGGTATGACCTTTAGTCGAAGCATAGTTTATTCTTATGTTTAAGTTCGACAGCATTTTATCCTTCTAACCAAAGTATTTTCATATACATTTTTAATAGAGAATAACTATGTAGTAACTTTCACTTTTAGGCTGGGTCGACTGTAACAAACGTCAAAAATCTGTCAAACTCCATACAAAAACCACTGGTTATCGTTAAAGTTACGCTCAAAGTTTGGTGGTGCAAACTCAGCCATAGATTTTTTCATGATGATAAGGGTGATACCTATAAATTTCATCTCAGTTCTATTTAGATCTTATGTCATTGATCCAAATTTAATCGATCATCATCAGCTTATTATTTTCTCTCCACTGAAGGAGAACCACCTTTACTTATCCAGTAGTAAACTGAGACTAATCGACTACTAGCTTTTGCCCGCGGCTTCGCCCTCGTGAAATTTTGTCTGTTACAGAAAAACTTTATTGCGCGCGTCCTTGATTCAAAATCTATCCTATGTCCTTTACTAAGACTCAAACTGTCTCTAAGCCAAATTTCATCAAAATCGGTTCAGTGGTTTAAGCGTGAAATTCGCATTTATAATATTAGTAGAGTTGAAAGGGTCATTTGTCATTTAAATTCAAGAAAAAGCTAAGATTATCTATTAAATATTAGTAGTTTTGCTTTATCACTTACCATAGCTAGACCCAAGTAACATGTTCCATCTCCCTTGGATCCACAGCATCCTCGCTTGAACATTCATCTGAAGCTGCTACCTACAAATAAAAAAGATATAAGCAATTCAGTAATGGAGATATTAATGTTTACCACATAAAGCATTACGCATTCCGTAGCTAAACCGCAATGTATACAAACAAAACGTAAACAACACATAAATACTTACTTTTAAACTTCTGACCAACTTATAGTCCAGAACTTTACAAAATAATAGACTTTATTCCAAAGGAATAAAAGTCTAAAATCAAGCGAAGGCTGCACTGCATAAGGCAGAGTGCACACGGACGATTTGCAGAATGAGCCGATATCGGGATCTACCTATTAACGTGAAAAGGTTAGGGCGTGGCCACACTGACGTGTTGATTACATCTTTGAGGCCCGAATCTTGGGCCGATGGTATCAACGCCACAACGGGTGCTTCAGCTAATAAAATAATTTCATATGTAATTTAAGACTGTTTAAGACGTCAAAATTTAAATTGGATGCGCGAAAAGGGGTTTGAAATAATAAATTAATCGTTTCTTTGGAAGACGATAAGTGACCGCGGTGAGGTAAACGGATCGTTGAGTCGTTTTGTTTGAACCGTGAAATAAATTATGGTTGGGCTCGGTGCATTATTGATTCCGATATCTTTAGTGCCGTTTTGGAGCTTCTGGATTTTTGAGGCGCTTCCATGCGAAGATTGTTAGCTTTTGCTTTTTACTACCTGATTATTTACTGAGTTTCTTGCGCAGCTTCTTCTCAGCACTAGCCCATTTATTGTCCTGAATCAGTGGTAGGGTTAATACTGAGACGTGTAGAAGTGCTTTTGAAAAGCCTACTTGCATAAATAAATGGGTTTATGAGTTTCAGTGACTCAGTTCATTCATTATGTATACGGTAGTGCCATAAAATCCACTTTTAAGATGATACGACTTATGATACGATTGACTGACTGACTTGTTTCGTTACATTGTAATTGTTTCTAAAACATCGAAAGTAAACACCATCTCACATTAGCCAAAATTGAATCAAAAACGACAAAGAAATATTTTTTTGTACGTCACCAATGTGGACCCCGCCTAACCAAAGGTAGTTAAATAGGCATAACAATAAATAATGAAGAATAAAATAGGAAGGAATTAACGTCCGTCCTGGAATTTATTGTCAGCGAGCTGCCACGGTCTCTCATATTACATTAATTAAACGTTTTGAACTGATTTTAAGCCAAAGGAATGCGTATTATCAAAAACTAGTTTCTCATAGCCCGCGGCTTCAGTATGTCTTTTACATGTAGTTAAAAATTACAGCCTACCTATATGTTATTCTGATGTATAAACAATATACTGTTATGTTTCATCAAGATCCGTTCAGTATTTTTTGTGCGAAAAATCCCAACCATCTTCGCATTCATAATCGGACTTTGACAATAGGTTCCCTTTCTTTTGTTTTATCATAGTTCATTTGTTTCTGAGATCTTAAATTTTTCAATTTCGGGAAAGGAAAAAATGTCTTTGTCGAATTAAAGCGACTTACATCTTAAATTAAAAAAAAAAATAGCTTTATAAAACCTGTATGAAGGGTCACCTTGTGATTTGTGATAATTATTATTGTTACAATGAAATATTAAATAAAATATTGCTGTTTGTATATTATGACAATGTTGTAAAAGTATTTTTCAGTATTTAAAAGTACTATGTGTTGTAGGTAGTAGACGTGACACACTTTTTTATTTTTGGTTATTAATCACTGGGTAATTTGGAACTAAGTTTTCTTAACAAGACAAAGAAAGACACTTTTGCTTATTACTACGAAATAACAAGGAAAACACCCATAAAACATCGATTTAATTTCTCATAGTTTGACTCCGAATCTTATAGTCCTAAGAGTGGTCCTAAAATATGAATCCCTTATTTATAGAAACACTAACATGGCATCGTATGAAAGATGCTATTATCGTAAACAGATTCACGCACTTTTAATGGCGCACTTACTTATGGCGGCAATATAATACCATATTATATTATACGCTTTAAAGCTAATATTTGTTTCAAATAATCGCCTATAGCCGCGAGTTGCCGCGCCACTTACACTTGTAGGCATAATGCATAAGTCAAATATACTATCCTTGATTTAGATCGCAGTGACGGACTTGTCCATTGTCACGTGGTTATATTTAAAACAGAACACGCTGCGCGGATTGTGCGTGTGCGCACAACATTTTATTTTCTCTCGTGAGGCTCAATTAATTAAATGGCACATAAAGAGGACGATTCCAAAACTGATAACACTAAGTAGCTAGGGATGTAACATCTAGCAATAAATATTTCAGATACCGACGTCTGTAAATGCAGCCATCCGTCCCTATTAAAGAATATCCCTATCTCAAAATGCTGCATAATATATTACTCTTAACTGATCCGCTCAATAAAGCGATAACCTTTAATAAAAAGCGAGGCGAGCTGCATAAATCGTGGACGCAATTAAAAATGACGTAAAAGTAACAATCGCATTTCCGGATCCGCGGCGGAGACCGTTCGGCCGGCTATCGCTCGCGAAATCGGCAATAAAATTAACATTTCGTGCGTTCGATCCGCACCGAAGCTTGAGCACACCCTCGCGCGGTTTTTGTTTATTTGATAGCGGCGGTGCATCGCTAGAATCCCACTGCACACGCATGATCCAGTCGCCTCGTGGCGCGTGCGACACGCACATTGCAACGGTGAAAAGCGGGCGAATCGCTCAATTTCGGCTTCGGTCCGAGCACGGACGGTCTGAACTAAGCTTTACTTTCACACCGCGAAAAAGATATTTCGCTGCAACTAAAATGTGATAGACATATTGCGTAATATTTCAAGACAATGACGTAGAGTTTAACGCACGAGCATTGGCGTTCAATTTGAAAAGCGTTTTTTCTATTCAATAATGCCTTCCACTTGCCCGAGTGAATAATTCTACACGTTCCCGATTTCGGTTTCAAATTCGATCCCATTTTTCACAATCACATTGAATTTCAAATATGGGTTTAAAAGCGTTGATGTTTGTATTTTTATGACTATTTCCTGGTGGGTGCCGGAGGAGGTGCTTTGTGTGTTCTGTTGTCGCTAAGAGGCCAGAGGATTACTATGGGGTAAGGATTTTTAAAGTTTTTTTCTTGAACTTTATATTTTTTGCAAAGGTTTAAAAATTCCCAATGTCCAGTTTAATGGGACGAATCTTATCAATATAAAAGTTTGCGTTGAAGCTTTTAATAGACGCCTATCATTAAGTTCTGGTCGTCAAGCAACGTTTTTCAATTAATTAGATTCTTTATAAAATAAAATTTTAGACATTTCTTAGTAGCTGAGAAATAGAGCTAAAAGTTAAGTTTTCAGAAATCCCGAAAATGTTATTCTTCTGTCCCTCGCTTTATTATCATCATCATAGTAGTAAAACACCGTTGTGGCTAAACGCAAACCGCGAAAGACAAAAAAAAGTAATTAAAATTAAATACATTATTTTTCAAATTTTTGGGCATAATTTTTTTGTACAATATTTTTTTCATTTATTTTTTAATTCCTTTTTCGTGCATTATATTTTTTTACATTTTGAAATTTAGAACGACACCACTATTTCTTTCTAGCCAGTATCAAGTTGCTAGATAGTAATAAAAAAATAAGCGTATCAAATTGCAGGATAGAAGTGAAAATTAAAAACTGAAAAAGTGTTCAATTCATAATTTTAAGTAAATGCTGGCAACCTGCAAAATAAAAAGAAAACACCACAGTGCATAGATAAATTAAATATACAGCGCCTTCGAATTATTTAAAGTAGGCACATTATTATAAAAGGACCTTGTAATGTAGTCGCATTGTATATGGTTATGGTAATGGCCACTTGAATATACTTTTACATAGATTTAAATGTAGCTTTTTAATGATTTCAAGTATCCAAGATTCTACAGGATTCTGGGAACTCTTCCATTATTTTAAACTGGTTTTAGTGTAGGAAAGTTTTATCTTACTGCTTTAGGACTATTATTAATCATATTAATTTGTTTATATCGATTGTTTTAAGTGATTTTAGCTGAGCTTGGGCTTCTTAAACTGGCTTTTCGCCGCGGCTTTGCTCGCGTTGATTTATTCTGTCACATAAAGAATCTTACAAAAACACTCATGTGAAATGTCGAGTTTCTCATAAAAATATTTATTTCTCTAGTTCACACCTTTTTAGACTAATATCTTTTTAGACTAATATATTAGTAACTAGCGACCCTAGTCCCTGCTTCGCAAAGGTACAATAAATACTTAAATACCTTCCTCTTGAAAAACTATCTATTAAAAAAAATCGCATCAAAATCCGTTGCGTAGTTTTAAAGATACATAGGGACAAACAGACAGCAAAGCGACTTTTTTTTATGTAATGATAGTGATGATCTATACGAGTAGGTAGACGTACTAAATACAGTGTCCGCGTGATAGGTCAATCACAGAAATATTGACACGTAACGGTAGAGCGCAGGTGGGTAATATGACGTCATCCAAGTTTCCTGGTACTATTGAAAAACATTTTCGAACCTGCGAATTATCGAAACTAATACCATACGATGCTTGCTTATGAACGCTATGCGAAGTCTAACGCACAACGTTGAATAAAGCTCTGTGAATAGTTCGTGTGTGTCGCTCCACCAATCAAATTGTCAATAATTAGGTTTTTGTGTGTTCCACGCGCACCGTGATACCTCATTGTAATGTTTGTGAATACAGAGTTCTTTTTTTCTTAAACTCAAATTGGTATTATTAATGACTAGCTTTCCGCCCGCGGCTTTGCCCGCGTGGAATTTTGTCTGTCACAGAAAAACTTTATCGCGCGCGTCCCTGTTTCAAAAACCGGGATAAAAACTATCCTATGTTCTTTCCCGGGACTCAAACTATCTCTATGCCAAATTTCATCAAAATCGGTTGCGAGGTTTAAGCGGGAAAGCGTAACAGACAGACCGACAGAGTTACTTTCGCATTTATAATATTAGTTGGGATTAAAATTCTGGCAAGTTACAATCTCTTGATGCTTTTAATTTACGTCTCTGTAAACATTTAGGGTGTAGCATTTGATCTCTATGAGACCTAATGTTGTAAGTCTTCTCAATCATGGATTCTTAATATTTTATGTCTTAACACCAATTCAATTAGATTAATTGAATTGGTGTTTTCACTTAAAATCCTACTAATATTATAAATGCGAAAGTTTGGATGTCTGGATGTTTGTTACTCTTTCACGCAAAAACTACTGAAAGGATTTTATTCAAACTTTACAGTATTATTGTTTGTAACCCAGATTAACATAGGCTATAATTTATGACGATATAACGAAATTTCACGCGGGTTAAGTTGCGGGCAAAAGCTAGTATTACATATTATTAAACATATTGTTTCCACTCAAAATAATCAAATAATTTTAAACCCCTTGTTGAGGCTCTTTATCCAGATCTAGATCTTTCCCTGTTTCTAGGCTGTAAGTTCATGCTTCAGTAATAGCTAAAGGATAACATAATCAATTGACATGCAACACTTATCCCTGGTAACATGATGATGGAAGCCCTACGTTTATTGTCATATTCGTGTCATGATATTGACACCTGTGGGCATGGTAGCGTGACAAGCCAAGATTAGTGAGTAATCTATTTTAAACAACTTTCTTTTTTGATTATGACTAAATGAATCTACTTATTATGAAAGCTCCGCGTCGCAATAAGTCGAGTCTCACAAAATTAATACATGAATAGTGAAAACGTAAATTTTTACTCCCAAAACTGCAAGATTAATAAAATTTGGTAAAAAAAGACGTTGACAGCAGTGCCATCATAAAACAAAATTGATGTTTTAATTAACTTAACTCCTTTAAACCTTAGTTACCTACTATACTGTAGAAATACCGGTAACAGAAATTAAATTAAAAAGTGTTCGCACTTAAATAGTTCTCTTATGAAAAAAACTTGCCTCTTATCGTTCAGTTACCTAAAAATATAACTTAAATATTAGAAAGTTACTCACGTTAATTTTTTCAGCGTCTTTCGCAACATTTACCTACCATGTGGCCTAAAATCAGTAGGTACATGTTAATATTCCGTAACACGCAAAATTAGTAACAAACGTTAACGGGAGGTCGGACAAAGTGCTCCGAGCACGTCCCAAGCTCGCTACCTAAAACAAAGCAGGGTTTCACTGTAAACAATTAGTTTGGGCTTAAAATAGCCGCTTTTGTCATATTAACAAAATAATATTGATATACTTTTGACACCGTATACGTTTGACGCGTCTTGCCGTGTTTTTTTGCATTTAGTTTCTTTCAAAGAGGATTTTTAAAATTTTTTAACTTTGTATAAGTTACAATAAGTTACAATTTAAAAACGCTATTTTTATAATAGCGGTACGTCAATAAAATATTTTATTTTAATTAAGGCTCAACTGCGTTTAAGTTCAAAATAATGTTTTATTCTCAAATGACTCGATTCGGTCCAAACATAAATGTCAACTCAAGAGTTTTGAAATTAGATTTAAATTTTTCGCTTAGTAGGTAGAAATCTTTATAAAAATAAATTAATACTTATCTCTTTAAAATTACTAAGTAAATTGAAAGTGGGGAGCCAAGCGTGGGAAACATGTCAGTAATTTTTTAAGCACACATGAATCTAACCCTACCATAAATCTAGGGACAAAGACAAAATTAAGCTCTAAAAGTCTTGTATTTTAGGCTCTAAGGATAAAAGTAAGCCTGCTCGGGCCGGATTTTTAATTCTATGTTTCAGATAAAAAAACCGGCCAAGTGCGAGTCGGACTCGCGCACCGAGGGTTCCGTACAAACCTGCAAGGTTTACAAAGTTCGTTCATTACGACAATCGAGTCATAACAGCTATGGTATTTTTATTGCAAAATGAAATTCATAACATTACAATGGGGAAAGATGGAGGAGCATAAATTTAAGACAAAGATCTCTTTATCGTTTAAGTAATCCTTTATTTTATATTAACACATATCATTTATCTATAATATAACTGAAACACTTATACTAGCCTTGCAGCAGACTTGCGAAAGTTCTTTTATTAAAGTTATTTATTTACTAAGTTTTTTAGTCACTATTTAGAAATCTGGTTCAAAAATATTAATTAAGTATTAAATTTTAACCAGACCTGTAAATGGTGACTTAAAAAGGTATGGCGTGTAGTTGCGAGTTTCAAAATATGCGGTATCAATGGTTGTACTTTTGCGTTTTGCGTTTTTGCGTTGACTTAGATTTTTTTTTCACGGGTTAAAGGCAATTAGATCTAAGTATTTGATATGAATTTCAACTTGATAGCTCTACGCGTTCATGAGGAAAAAAGTAATAAGTTTATATTTATTAAAAAATATATATTTTTAAGGTTTTCGGAATTTTTCCTTTATGTGTGCTATAAAACGTTGCTTCATGCCAAATTTCAAGATTCTAGGTCGACTGGAAGTACCCTTTAGGTTTTGATTCCCTTGCGAGTACTTGCGAGTTTCAAAATATGCAGCTTAAATTGCTGTTTCTTTTGATTGCGTTGACATAGAAGTTTGATTTTGTTACAGCATAAAGGTATTATAGACCTGAGTATTTGGTATGAATTTCAATTTAATACCTCTACGCGTTTATGAGGAAATGAGTAGTAAGTTTAAAATTATTAAAAAAATATACAGGGTGACTGGAACTCAACCCGCCATAGCTAATACGCGTATAGAGGAGGTCATTTGCTAATTATTGAACCTTACTTTCTGTGTCTAAAGTTTTATAGTTTAGGAGATATGTCAATTTTTATACTTTTTTCAGATTTTTCCGAAATTTGACCTAAAAACTGCTTAAATTTTTTTTCTCGCGTAATTTCAACAGTTTTTTTTATTAGATATTAATATCGAATATATCTTTATTAAAATAAAATAGATTTCTGATCCAGATAATGATTGAATAACTAGTTACGAGCCGCCAAAGTCTAAGAAAAGTACAAACCACGAAAAAAAATTGTACTTCGAATTCGATTTAAAAAAAACTAATGGTGATAATGGATTGCCAATAATCTTAAAAATATCTCTAACTTCTCTTCTTTCCAATGATAATATCACACGTTGTAATTAGATGTTG